TTTATTTTTCATTCTTCTCATAAAAGAAATAAATTTGTTTTGTATGATCAGTGAATCATGAGGCTCAAGGGAAAATCTTCGAGTGGGAAGAAAACGTCGTCGGAGGGCCCGACGAGCATCGAGTCCGATGGCCGGCTGTTGAATATGGAGAGGGTCTCGTCGATGGGCGAATTGAGCTCGGCCAACTTCTCCAATGGCATCCTTCCCCACCTCGGCGAACAAAGTAATTACAAGGTCAAGCTAAGTCCTTCCATCGTCTCCCCTTTCGATCCCCGCTACAGGTTAATTACCACATCGAAAAAAAAAAATAAAAATGTTGTTATCGATTTATTAGATTTCTAGGCTTTAATAAATTAAATTTTGCAGAGCTTGGCAAACATTTTTGGTAATACTTGTCTTCTACACGGCGTGGGTGTCCCCTTTCGAATTCGGTTTCCTCAGAGGTCCCAAAGGACCTCTTCCCATCACCGACAATGTCGTTAATGGGTTCTTCGCCATCGACATTGTCCTAACGTTCTTTGTCGCCTACCTCGAAAAGTCAACCTACCTCCTCATTGACTCTCACAAGATGATTGCTTCGAGATATGCAAAACGAGGGCTTACCTTTGATATTATCTCCACAATACCTTATGAGCTCGTCCACAGAATCTTGCCTTCAAATGTCGAATCGTACGGCTACTTTAGCATCCTTCGTCTATGGCGTCTAAGACGAGTCAGCACCTTCTTTGCAAGGTATATATGTATATTTGTTTTCCTTTTCTTTTCTTTTGTTTTGAGTGGTAAATGGTTAGTTATATATATATCTCAAAATGTATTGCAGATTGGAGAAAGACAGGAACTATAACTACACATTCGTCCGAGTCACGAAATTTACGTGCGTAAGTATCTTCGAGATACAAGTTTTTTCTTTTTTTGGTAAGTGCATGGCTTATTTATTATTGTGTTTTGTTGCAGGTCACTCTTTTTTCAGTCCATTGTGCTGCCTGCTTCTTTTACCTTCTTGCCGACAGGCACAAGGACCCAAAGGACACGTGGATGGGGCTAACGATGGACAATCTCCATCAAGAGCCTCTTTGGGACAAGTATTTTATGGCCATGTATTGGTCCATCGTCACACTCGCAACCGTAGGATATGGCGATCTTCATCCCGTCAACACGGGGGAGATGGTTTTCGACTTTTTCTACATCCTTTTCGTTATGGGGCTCACGGCCTATATTATAGGCAACATGACCAATTTAATCGTTCAATCAACGTTCCGAACTAGGAAATTCGTAAGTATAGTTCAAATTGAGTTGCCTACCTTTTTTTCACATTTTTTTCTTTTTCCTAGTTTAAATTTTTAGTATTGTGATTAAGTACAGAGAGACACGATTAATGCTGCCTCGGGTTTTGCGAAAAGGAACCGGCTTCCACCTCACCTGCAAGATCAGATGATAGCACACCTGAGCCTCAAGTACAGAACTGACTCGGAGGGTCTGCAACAGCAAGAAACTCTCGACGCCCTTCCGAAAGCTATTCGTTCGAGCATATCGCATTATCTCTTCTATTCCCTAGTGGATAAGGTGTATTTGTTTGAAGGGGTGTCGAATGACCTGCTTTTTCAGCTGGTAATAATTCTTGACCATTTCAATTTAGATACAATTAGACTGATGTTTATCTTACTTCAAATGCTGAATATGTACTAATGCCATGCTTTTCTGTATATCACAGTGAACATATCCAGTTTGTTTGTTGATTAGTTATAAATAAAGAAGTTCTGTGATGTTTATAAATCATCACTATTATTTTTTTTTTCTCTAATTCTGTTTTTTTTTTTCTTTTGTGTTCTTGTTATCTGTTTGAAATCGAATACCGTTTAGTGTAGCAGATTCCCTCACGCTCGTTTCTCTTTGGCTAAAACATCAGGTATCAGAGATGAGGCCTGAGTATTTCCCTCTCAGAGAAGATATAATTTTAGAGAATGAAGCACCTACTGATTTGTACATTCTAGTTAATGGGGCTGTGGTATCTCTCTCTCTCTCTCCCTCTCTCTCTCTCGGAATTCGCCGAGCTATACTCATTTACCTTTTTTGTTTTTCATGAGCTACACTAAATTAGATTATTATCTGAATTAGTAGCCACTCTAAAACTACTTTGTTGATGGCAGGATCTTATTTCTAAAAGAAATGGATCTGAAAGGGTAAAAGTCAATTTTTTTTTTTCTTTTTTATCTTCCTTTGTCAGCTGCAAATAATTTTTTCCTTAGAAAAATGTCTTAAAATGTAATTTATAGGTTATAGGGGAGCTGAAGACAGGGCACGTCTGCGGTGAAATAGGCGTGCTTTGCTACAGGCCGCAACTTTTCACTGTCCGTACAAAGCGGTTGAGCCAACTACTACGTTTGAACCGGACTTCACTCTTCAACATTCTTCAGGCTAATGTTGCAGATGCTACCGTGATCATGAACAATCTCCTCGAGGTAAATAGAACTTTTTAACTTCATGCAAATTTTTTCCTACTTGTTTATTTTTATGTTTTCTAACTTTTGTCCTTATTGTTATACATTGCCATGGGGAAAGCTTATGTCGTGACAAATTGTTCGATTTTGAATTTTCGACAAACAGCATCTGAAAGAGTACAAAGACCCGATGCTGCAAGAAATCCTGTCCTTCACAGAGCACATGCTAGCTCATGGAAGGATGGACATGCCTCTCAGCTTATGCTTTGCGGCCACTCGAGGTTATGATCTTTTGATGCACCATTTGTTAAGGAGAGGTTTGGATCCGAACGAGCTCGATAGCAATGGACGCAATGCCTTGGTATCTTCTTCATTTCTGCATTCGTTTTGTTTATAATTAATTAATTATATAAACTAACATGTCCGTTCTGTTTGATTGAACATCGATATAGCATCTGGCGGCGGCTAAAGGATCTTTAGAATGTGTGCTTCTGCTTCTAGATTATGGAGCAGATCCCAATGGAAAAGGTTGTCTACTTAATTTTTCTTTGTTTATTTATTCGTTATATACCTTAAACTTATCTCAATGCAGACCTGGAAGGAAATGTTCCGCTGTGGGATGCTATATTGGGCAAACATGAGGCTGTAATAGAAGTGCTGGTGGACAATGGGGCTACGCTGTCCTCAGGCGATGTGGGACAGTTCGCATGCTTTGCGACTGAGGAGAACAACATAGAGCTTCTCAAGGAGATTGTGAGGTTCGGCGGGAACATAGCTCTGCCAAACTCTGCAGGGACCACAGCACTGCACAAGGCCGTAGCTGAGGATAAGGTTGAGATCGTTCGTTTTTTGATGGAGAATGGGGCTGATGTGGACAAGCCAGACAGTGATGGCCTCACCCCAAGTGCCCTGGCCCACAGTCACAGCATGAAAGACCATATCAAGAGTGGGCCCAAGCCCCAGCCCCAGGGTGGTGGCACACCTGCCCTGCCGCCTCACTCAAACAAGTATTTGCGCCAGTTGGGGTCGCCTCTCAGCCTCGCGAACAAACGCTTGAGGAGACGCCCAACTAACTTTCAGAATTCACTTGCGGGGATCATCACAGCTGACCA